TGAGTTGTTTTTACAGCTCTGGAAACTCTTTTATAAGCTATTTTCACATTCCTTTCTGTTGTTGAAAAGTGTAGAACTTTTTTCAAATTCCAAATTCCCCCTTTTTTTTGGGGGGGGGGGGTGTTGCATAGGAAATGTTGGATATGGGATTTTCAACTTAGGTGGTTGGGATTTGTTAATTGGCAATTTTTAAAAATTTTTTATTTTGATTTTGACTTTGTTATCATAGACCATAATGCTTGGTGCATAATTGTTGTATGTGGCTAAAATTGTTTAATAAGTGGCTGAAATTGTTTAATAAGTGGAGCCTTATTTCGATGTTTAGAATATTTTGCAACACAAACTAGGAAAGAAAACAATAAAGGAAATTTAGATTTTGGCCACTGTCTACGAAGAAGTATTCGGCATTTATGTTTCAAAGGTATGTTTATGTAATACCCAATGTTATGCATTTCATGAAACTTACAATGGCTATTGATTCCAACTTATGAATTTATTAAGTTTAGTTAATTGGAAAACTATTCTTGCTTTCTAATTTGGCTTGGAGAGTATTAATTTGGCAAACTTTAGAAGTTATCATTGATATGGTTGAGTCTAAAGACATGACTGAACAAAACAATAATTGATGAAGAAAAGGGATATTACTGTTTCTTACGTTTCATAATTGAAAAGAATATGCTTTTTAGAATGAAAAAATAATCTATATTGGATTTTATTTTTTCATTTAAAATAGGAAGTTGATATCTTGATGAGTTGAAACTATATAATTATATTTTTTTTCTTCAAATTATTTACTTTGCTTACATTCTAGATGGATATAAAGATTAGATTAATTTGAAACCTATTAGAGTTCAACTTAATTCACACTTCATGACTCTAAAATTTATAACAAACTAACATAACTCCATCTTTGTTGGTTTTGAGTTGTTTTCTTTTCCTGGGACAAAGAATGTTCAAACTCATGTTTTTATTTTATTATTCAATCTAGTTTCAAAATCAAAATCCATTACAGAGAGTTTGCATTAATTTCTTTTCTTTTATGTTAATGAAACAAGGAATGATAGATTAGTAAAATTGAATTTGGTGTAGACAACACATTTGGAGCTATTTTGCTTTAAGATTATGATCTTAATTGGTTAGATATTAAACTTGAAATGATGAATAATGGAACTTATTTATGTTAACTACATAAGCTTGGAACCATGCACGATGTTTTGCTTTCATAGTTAGGAACAACTCCTTTTAATTGGAAGATAGGGACAACCAAATGCAATAAAACTTTGAGATGGGAAGTTGATATGATATAATGGATTGTTATCAGTATTTTTCATCTTATTTCAAATTTTCTCGTTCTTAGCTATTCGTGGTTATTAGAGCTTTAAGAAGAGGAGATGATTATAAATTCAAATCTGCAAGAAATCAACATGTACTAGCATCTTCTTTTTTTCTTAATGAGAACATGAACTAATTTTAAGTAGGCTTAATTCAGCAATCCTGCCTTTGAAGTCAAATATAAAATGCTTGAACACTGCTACAAACATATATAGTATCTCAGAAAGGGAGGCATAGAACGATTTTGGGATCATCTGCAATTGATGATTGGAGAGATGGTGTTTGGAAAGGAGATAAAGCTTTTGAGGTATGCAAATTTTCATTTTTTTGATTCTACAATTTTTCACATTTTACTTTAAGGTATAAGTCTTCTTCTTCCTCTTCACCAACTTTGCCTTAACCAATTGGCAGGATATTGTGAGTTCATTTCATTTTCTTTAAATTTCTTGAATGAATTGTATTTATCTTTTTGGCCCCTTCAATTTTCTTCTTCTTCTTCATCTTCCCCTTTTATAAAAAAGGGGATAATTATTTCTTATTTTCTAAATCTCTTTTCACTCACTTGGTCTGTTGCAAAAATTTGAATTTAAGACTTCTGAATTTAAAATCTCAAACTCTTCTATAAGTAGTATAGATGTGAAAAGAAATAAAAATATGAGGTGAGAGTTGTTTACTTTGGGAATATTGGCCTTAGTAGGATTTGCTATACAATTTGGCTACACATATTATGTTATCATGCACCTGATGGAGACCTATAATCTTATCCCACAAGTTTCTTAATATAACTCTTTTTGCAGGTTGAAAACATTTTAGTCATTTCATAACCCACTATGGTGGCATCTGCACCTTCATGAGTGTGCAGGATGAAGACTCAAGGTTTGGCCACAAAAACACCACCCTTATATTTTATTCTTCTATTACAAAATATACCAACATTATCTTCCAAATGAAAAACATTAGAACTATTTGTATCTTTTTCTCACTGAGATATACTCTTTTTTAATGCCTATATCCAAAGATGGTTTGTTGGGAGAAAGGCAACTCAAAGTATTAATCCTTATCCCTTTGTGGATATTCATTTTATTCTTGAAGTTTATCCAGCTTCTTATGCATTGTGTGCTTCAGCTTTTAGGCCTCTTATATATTGCGAGTGGTGACATAAAATTAAAAGCAACAAATGATCAATTGTGTTCCATTTTTTTTAATTTTTGCAAGAATCAGTTAGCTATTCAAGGTTGAAGTAACATAACGGATTTCACTATTCAACCTTGACAATGTTTTATGAGTCTATAGTTGATATGCCTTATGTTATGTGAAAATGTGTTTTAGGAAATATTGAAGACTTGGGAATTTCATGTAAGAGTTGCGTTATATTGGATACTCAATTGAGTGCTTTGATTGTGTGATTCAAAATTCCAAACTTTGACCATGAATGTGTGAAAACTTTACTTTGGTTATTATTGTATGCTCAGTTGAGCCATACTTCCTATCGCATTCTTTCATCTTCTGCTTTCTTTCTTTTTTTTTCCTTTTTTTTTTTTTTTTTTTTTTTTTTTTTTT